TCAAAAGCTCACCACAATTACTATTCTAATGAAAAAACTTATTCCTCTAATAATGCTTCTCTTATTTTAATCTATTTTTTTTCAGCAATAATTGTATTTAGTTATAGAAGGTTATAAACACATTCATATGAACATATGAGTACTCATATAAACACACTAGACGAATGGCCCGGGTTTTACCCGAGTGCGTATATATTTTAAAAACGTTTTAATTCAAATACTATTCGTTACAATTATAAATTGGCGCCATGGATGTCACTCTTGTGAAACGTCCCGTTCCAAACTGTGTGTTTTTAAAACACAGCTGATAACAGGGTTGTTTAGAGTGGCCGCTATAGACAGGGTGGTCTGTATAGACAGGTGGATGTATCACACAGCTGATAACAGGGTTGTTTAGAGTGACCGCTATAGACAGGGTGGTCTGTATAGACAGGTGAATGTAACACACTGATGATAACAGGGTTGCCTAAAGTGACCGCTATAGACAGGGTGGTCTGTATAGACAGGTGAATGTAACACACTGATGATAACAGGGTTGCCTAAAGTGACCGCTATAGACAGGGTGGTCTGTATAGACAGGTGGATGTATCACACAGCTGATAACAGGGTTGTCTAGAATGGCCGCTATATACAGGGTGGTCTGTATAGACAGGTGGATGTATCACACAGCTGATAACAGGGTTGTCTAGAGTGGCCGCTATATACAGGGTGGTCTGTATAGACAGGTGGATGTATCACACAGCTGATAACAGGGTTGTCTAGAGTGGTCGCTATAGACAGGGTGGTCTGTATAGACAGGTGTATGTATCACACAGCTGATAACAGGGTTGTCTAGAGTGGTCGCTATAGACAGGGTGGTCTGTATAGACAGGTGTATGTATCACACAGCTGATAACAGGGTTGTCTAGAGTGGTCGCTATAGGCAGGGTGGTCTGTATAGACAGGTGTATGTATCACACTGCTGATAACAGGGTTGCCTAAAGTGACCGCTATAGACAGAGTGGTCTGTATAGACAGGTGGATGTATCACACAGCTGATAACAGGGTTGTCTAGAATGGCCGCTATAGACAGGGTGGTCTGTATAGACAGGTGGATGTATCACACAGCTGATAACAGGGTTGTCTAGAGTGGCCGCTATAGACAGGGTGGTCTGTATAGACAGGTGAATGTAACACACTGATGATAACAGGGTTGCCTAAAGTGACCGCTATAGACAGGGTGGTCTGTATAGACAGGTGGATGTATCACACAGCTGATAACAGGGTTGTCTAGAGTGGCCGCTATAGACAGAGTGGTCTGTATAGACAGGTGGATGTAGCACACTGCTGATAACAGGGTTGTCTAGAGTGGACGCTGTATACAGGGTGGCCTGTATAGACAGGTGCTATCCGTGAACTTCAGACAGACAGAATAAGGCAATTATATAAGTAGATTCATCACAAAAGGCTTACTTAGTTTCCTGGGCAAAGTTGATGGCCTCCTGGAGTGTGGTGTGGTCATTGGAACATTTGACCTGGGACAGGAGGTATGTTAGCTATATACACTGGACTGAGGATTGGCTGGACTCACCAGCCAGGTGAAGAGGAGCTGGGGCACCAAGGGCAGCTCTCCCTCCTGGTAGCTCTTCAGCAGCTTCACCAGCTCATTGTCCTCCACCTGACAACAACACCAATCTCTGTCTTCACCGTTTACAATAATCCAACCACTGTCCCGACCTATCCAAAGTTTATTTGACAACATTGATAATTCAACTATTTCTTAGATAACAATAAAAGAAGATTGTTGCTTAGCAACAGCTTCATTGCTATAAATGGATTTAACACGGCAGCCTCCATAGGCACAATAACCTTTTAGAGAGCAGTAAGTACCTCTTCTATAGTACACCCCAATGGAACCAAACTTTTGGCTCACTATACCCACAGTTTAGCTTTTTTTATTCTTTTCAATATTTTTAGATCATATAATTAAAGGACAGCCATACACAGAGAAAATGGCTACCTCTTAATAATAGCTACTACATTTTAATCTCCTAAAATAACCTATTTCTATACATCACAGCCGAATATCAAAATAGACACAAAATATCTTGTGCAAAGAAGTCCTTTGATGATGGTTATTCTTATCATTAGCATATATATGTGCTACTTTGTCTAATTAAAACAGGCACAAAGCTTTAACATTTTACACTCAATAATAAAAAGTTTACTTGAAAAAAATGTCTCTAATATTTTTTTTGTTTGAAAACATTCTTCAAGCATTGGTCCTTTCAAATAAAAAGGTATTTTTCTTCCATTTCCAGTTACCACATTTTCTTCTGAAGATTTCTTTTTTTTTTAAGCTGACATTCAAAACATTGCAGGCTAAAATAACCATAGTTCATGGCATAAAAAATAACCTTTCGTTTCAACCCGCACTCCTTTATTTGGACTTTTTTAGCCTAGGTTAAACTAGCTATAGATATAGAACACTTCTGAAAGGAGAGGCTAACATGTATTATCTCAGGAAAATTTGGGGTTGATACCTCTTTGTAGCCATTTTTATAGCCTTTCATTTTATTACTTTTAACAGAAAGTTATATTTTCTTATTTTATTATGTTTTGGAAGTTTTGCTTGCATTGTTTTACTTTGAGAAGCTTTGATGTTGGCTTTTTTTTTCTAGTGGTAATTTGTTAAAAAAGCCTTTTATATACTTTTTGTTTCTTTATTTTGGAAGCCATTTGCATTTTTTTTATCTATTTCAAATTTGAATGCAATCCAAAAATTGAATGCAAAGATAGTTTATTAAATAAAATTTATAATGTAAAAATTTAAATAACATGTGTGTGGCAAAAATAGAATGTAGAGGTAAATAAACAATTGTTTGAAATTGTAATCTGTGAGCTGAAACATGCCAAAATTTGTTCTGTTTTAAAAATCTATTGAGTTCATTTTTGATTCGTTATAAGCCAGTGTATTTTAATTATAATTTATTATTCTGAGACTTAAACTTCCCGATTTCGCTGGTCTTGACTTCTAGCCTTTTGACTACTTCCTTCGGTACAAGAGGTGTTTGAAATCCAAGGTGATGTCAAATGGCTTTTAATGAGTTTGCTATCCAGAACATCTCATTTTTATTCAAATGGTTTTGAAAAAATACTTTTTTTGTGTGTGAAAGAAAATATGATAAAATATTCTAATGCTATTTTTCATATAATTAATAACACTGGTCAACAAGATTTTTGCACAAGAGAACCTGATTATGTTTCTAGTGTAACTTTTCATGCTGAACTCAAAAATCTAATCAGAAAATTCCCATCACCTATGGTTTTTGCGTGACGGTCTTTTTTAGTATTGGGATAAATACAGTTTTGCACAACCCTTATTACATTACACTGGTTTATCAAAAAATATTTTTCTTTGTCCACAAAGAAATAGCATCTTATCTACATGTCCTGAATCCAAATATACCATTAGTTTTTTCTATTACGCAATATTTCTGAGATACACCTACTTGAAATTTGGAAATATTGTTAATATATAGGCATATATGAACGAAACATATTTATTTATTGAAAAGCAGAGACAGTGGATTTTCTTCTATAATTTGCTTGTGGTAGATCCCTCTTGAGTGTCCAGCAGTAGTCGGCAAGCATAGCGGGACTCCATTTACCTTGGTACCGCTTCTCCATGCTTGATATATCTTGATGAAACCTCTCACCATGCTCATCGCTAACTGCGCCAAGATTGTCTGGAAAGAAATCTAGATGTGAATGCAGGAAATGGATCTTGAGGGACATGTTACATCCCAGTGCCTTGTAGGAAAGCAACAGATCATTAACTATGTCTCGGTAATTTTCAACCTTGACACTTCCTAAGAAGATTTTGCAAACCTTTCTAAAGGAATTCCATGCTGCTGCTTCAACTTCATTCAAACTATTTTGAAAATTTCCATCCTGCTGCAATTCTCGAATCTGAGGTCTAACGAAAATGCCTTCTTTAATCTTCGCTTCACTTATACTAGAAAATTTTTGTTTTAGGTAGGCAAATCCACTGGCATTTCGATTCATTGCCTTGACAAAGTTCTTCATTAATCCCAGTTTAATATGTAATGGTGGTAAGTAAATATTTTCTGAATCGATCAGGGGTAGATTCAGGGTTTTATATCCTGGAGTAAAGATTTTACGGTTTGGCCAGATTTTTTTAATGTAATGCCTTTCCCTATCTCTGCTATCCCACTCACACAGAAAATAACAAAATTTTGTATATCCAAGCTGTAATCCACGCAAGAGCGCAACGACTTTCAAATCGCTGCATATTTTCCAACCGTATCTTTCATATTCTATCTTTTTCAAAAGCAGTTTCATTTATTATGGCATATATATTCATATATACAAGCATTTATTACTGTATTTATCCCAATACTAAAAAAAGACCATCAGGCAAAAACCATGGGTGATGGGAAATTTCTGATTAGATTTTTGAGTTCAGCATGAAAAGTTACACTAGAAACACCATCAGGTTCTCTTGTGCAAAAAAAAAAGTTTTTTTTGTAGACCTGTGTAATCATGTGAGTGAAGTGAAATTCTGATTTAAAATTAGCATATAAAAATGTACATTTTGTACCCCAACTTTGCAATTTCCCAGAAAAAAAGAAGGGGGAGGAGGTAAAAAAAAAAATGGGTAGAGAGAAAAAGAATTGGGCAACAAAATCAAAATGTCTAATATATTGTAGCTGAATACTAGATTATTGTAATATAAAATTGGTAACAGATAAATTTACTGGCAATGTGTGTGTGTGCTTTTTTTTTTTTATATCAGCAAATATTATCTCTACAGACCTTACTGGAATGATATAAGTTATTGAATGAGAGGGCTTGGTTCATTAGTAGTGAACCCTCTCAGCGGTTTCGCCAAATTAATCTCTAGACCGCTTTACTAAGGAGAAATAAAGATTATTTCTAACCCTTAGGGATGAAGTATGAAAAGATGAATTGTGAAGAGTAATGATAAGCGGAAAAATGGCCAGGGATGGGAATCGAACCCACAGTATTCCGCTTACCGGGCAAATGCCATTGTCCACAAGGCTACCCTGGACATATTTTTCCCTTTCTTAAATATTATATAAAGTAATTTATAATACAATATAATGCGGCTTATGATTGTAGAACGACATTTGAAAATTATCCCACATGTGTTTCTTTTGAATGACTGGACACTTTATTTTTCCGCTTATCATTACTCTTCACAATTCATTCTTTCATACTTCATCCCTAAGGTTAGAAATAATTGTTATTTCTCCCCATAAAATAAATTTAGATTTTTCGTTCAAAAGAAACACATGAGGGATAATTTTAAAATGTCGTTCTACAATAACAAATATAGACTAGTAAATTAAATTTATGAATTTTAATATAAGTTTAAATTTCACAATGAAACTATAAGTGCTCATGGAAAATGGGAATAACATAAAATAGATTTAAAATAGCTTGCAAAAAGTAATACAGTAAAATACTCACTAGAGGGAACTTCTCAACAAAGGACATTTCCATTTCTTTTATAAAATTATATGAATGCCAGTCTTGTTATTGCGAAGAATCTTCACAATGAAACTATAAGTGCTCAATTATATGCTGGCACAACAATTGCAAAGACCTGAAATTAGTTATAGAACAGGCATTAAATACGATTGATGTATGGTGTAAGAGTAACAAACTTGAAATAAGTCTAGAAAAAACTAATATACTTTATTTACATAACAAAGAAAAAATCCCAATCAAATTTAATAATGAAATAATCATACCAACTCTGAAGACCAAAATTTTAGGAATAATAATTGCAAATCACAGAAGAAGAAACAAAATAAATTTTACATACCACATAGAAGAAATAGTAAATCGTACAAAACGTTTTAAAAATTATCTCTTCTCAATTTGCGGGAAATCTTGGGGTCTAAGCACCCAGAAAAGGCTAACTTTATATAAATCCATTTTTAGACCAATACTTACATATGGAGCCGAAATTTGGTTCAAATATTTAAATAAAAAATGTTTACAAAAATTAAATTCAACCCAATATCAAATACTGACATGGTGTATACAAGCCTATAAATCCACATCATATAGCTGTGTTCATAGTTTGGCCAACATTCCTCTGATCTCAGACTTTATCGAATCCAGAATCATGATATCTGTGTGTGTGATCTGAGAAACTTATCCACAGATGATCAACAAATTTATGACCCATTTATTCCAGGAATTATAGATACCTTTCTCAAATCAAGAATGAATGTTCTGAAAAACGAAGCAAATAATACTTTCTTAAGCTTTTTTCCCCAAGAAATCCCTAAATACTTTCGTCCAAATTTTTATAATACTCAATTTGTTACAAACCACGGAAATTTCAAAAGTTTTTTAAATAGAATAAAGGCAGTGGAGGATTCAAGTTGCTTTTGTGGTATGGAGGAACAAACCTCAAGACATCTACTGATCGACTGCCCAGCATTTCAAGATTATAGAATGAAGAATGAACTAGTTGTTTATGAATTAAACGATTTGATTTCCAATAAAAATTCATATCTAAAGTTCAATTCATTTTGTAAATACATTCTAAAATTTCTACAAAATCTGGATCTCTAATGTTTTTATTCGTTGAATAATGTAAATAACTCATGTAAATAGACTTTTCTCCTTGTTTGGCGCAAGTATCCCTTGCGGGATGTGGCGCTTTGGAAATAAAATGGTTGGTTGTTGAAAATGGGAATAACATAAAATAGATTTAAAATAACTTGCAAAAAGTAATACAGTAAAATACTCGCTAGAGGGAACTTCTCAACAAAGGACAGTTCCATTTCTTTTATAAAATTATGCCAGTCTTGTTATTGCGAAGAATCTTCCAATAGAGCCCAGGATCCTGGAGGTTTATTAGGAAGTGGTTTAGCTAGATCATTTCACACAAGTGCCCATAAAATAGGTTCCTTATTGAGTTTTTCCTCTTAGCCACCCATTCCTAGCTAATTAAAGAGAGCTAAGCTCTAAGAAGCGGTCTGGTGGATTGAATTGGCAAAACTGCTGGTAGGGTTCACCACTGATGAGCCAAGCCCTCCCAATATTTTTTCATCATAGTAAAGACAGAGTAGTAGTTTGTTTTATATTTAAAAAGAAACATTCGTACTTTAATACTATCATTTATTATACAGTAGAACCTCCCCGTAAAGGACACCTATTTGCAGAGCAAAAGCATCCTTTAGGAAAAGGTGTCCTCTTACTGGAGAGTTGATAAACAGTAAAAATGGTAATTTTGACAATGAAAAGTGTCCTTTACAAAGAAGTGTCCTCTCATGGAGGTTCTACTGTATATAAATGACTTATAATTAATTATGCTGCTATGAGGTGATATGGACATACTGACCTGGCCGAAGAAATGTGGCAGTTGGTTGGTGTGGCCCAGCACTAAGGTGAGCCAGAGTCTGGTGAGGTGGAGCCACAGGCACACCTCCGGGTTCTTGTCCTTCGGTACTGCCAACATCACTGACATCAATATGGGAGAAGATAATTGGTGGCATGCTTAAATATCATTTACAAAGTGGCTCACAAAACAACATGTTTCAAAATGTATTTTTAAATACACAACCGCATCTATCTTTTAATGAGGTGGAAATTGTCAGACATTGAAAGTGTTGAAGAAGGCATTTCCGGACTGTGTGCTTGAACGAGCATTAAAAGATGGGAATAAGTGAAAAATTGGTTGAATTACAGTGTGTTGAAATAAAGAGAGGTTATACTGTATTTATCTAGGAGAAGAAATAAAAAATAATTACAGTAAAACCTACATGAGAGAACACTCTCACTACAGGACACCTCTCTACAAAGGACAGTTTTCATTCCCAAAATTACCCTTTTGACAGATTAGCAACTCCCCTTCAAGAGGACAACTCTCTAAAGGACATTTTGACTCTGAAACTAGGCATCCTTTACAGAGAGGTTCTACTGCATCTAAAATACCCTAAGTGCAACAGCAATCACATAGGTCTTTTTAAAATAAACAATCACATGCAAAGTTCATATTTGTAAGAAGATGAAGCTTAGCCCACTCAATGAGGACTGCAGGTGTGATGCAGTCAGGCAGGAAGTAAAAGTTTCTCCCTAATTAGCAAGGTTGAGCATTAAAGTCTGTGAACTCACCCAGGTGGAAGCAAGTGTCAAACAGCCGGTAGATGACATCCAGGGACCTCTTCCCTGTCAGGACAGAGGGGATCATGGCTGCCAGCAGGGTCAGCCAGCTCTGGTAGTCCTCTGCTCACACCAGGTATCAGCTCACATGGTGGTACTCCAAGTACACATGCTACAGGTCGTGATGATTACAGTTGGTAATTAATGACACAATGTCAGAGCCCTGTTTTCACTAGAGACTGACTGGTGGTATTGAACTTTGGCAAGAATTATGGAAAGTGAATCAATTCTTTTATTTAAAGTTATCTTATGTAAACCCTTCCAAAGTCAAAACCAAGACAACTTATAAAAAGGCTGGTTAAACCATTTGGTTTTCGACCACTAGGACCCGGGTTCGATTCCCGCATTGGACACTTTTTTCTGTTTAAAGAAAAAAAAAAATGCTCCAATGGCCCCCGATTCTTGCAAAAGTCCAACCCCACCAGCGAGTGCAAGTAACCAAACGGGGCTCTGGCATTAGTAAGTGCAAAGTCGAAATGCTTTTCACATGTGTAGACATGTGGTGCACTTACAGTAAAAGCAGTCGCTAACTACCCATCATGATTATCATGGCCTGTACCACGTGTACTAGGGATAAGCAAAAAAAAAAGCCTTTGACATGAAGTATCCGGTTCAAGCTAAACCCCAAAAAACTTTGGTGACTGTCAATCCATCTATCCATCTGTACCACTAGATATCAGCCTTCTTTGAATTTCCTTAGTCCACATTTTGAAGGGTCAGTGGTATAAACAGTGAATTTTCTACAGCCTTGACCCGGGATCAAAACTCACATTGGGCACTTTTTTCTGAAAAAAAAATTGCTTTAATGGCTCCCAATTCTTGCATAAGTCCAACCCCATCAGTCTTCTTTCTTATCTCCACTCAATCACACTAAGGTATCAAGCTTGTAAAGCTTGAGATTTTTGATGGTGTCTGCCGGGGAAGAGTAGAGCTCATCAATGGATGAGTCAATGCAGTCAATAATATGTATTGGGGTTGCAGGCTGAGAATTGCACTTAGTACATAGTGGGAAAACCTTGCAACCATTCTGGAAAGTCATTGTCCGTAGATGACCAGACTTAAGTCTGGAAATCAAAGACTGTTGTTCTCTTGGGAGGACAGAACCACCCCATCAGTGACTGCCAGAAACCAAATGCACTAAAAAGGAGAAAATAAATATTTTAGCTTCCACCACTGGACCAATAGATCTATAGGATATAATATAATGCGGCTTGTGATTATAAAACATTTTAAAATTATCCCGCATGTGTTTCTTTTGAACGAAAAATCAAAATTTATTTAAAGGAGAAATAACGATTATTTCTAACCTTAGAACCCTTAACCAGGGTAGCCTAGTGGACATGGCATCTGCCCGGTAAGCAGAACACTGAGGGTTCGATTCCCATCCCTGGACACTTTTATTTTTCCGTTTATCATTACTCTTCACAATTCATTCTTTCATACCTCATCCCTAAGGTTAGAAATAATCGTTATTTCTCCTTTAAATAAATTTTGATTTTTCATTCAAAAGAAACACATGCGGGATAATTTTATAATGTTGTTTTACAGATCTATATGAGTCAAAAGAAAATTAGCGGGGGACAATCATCAATAATTTTAACATAATGTGATTTAATATTGAACAACAGATAAACAAGTTTTTATATTTCACTAAATATTTTACCTCCTCCCTCAATAAATGGTGATTCTCCACTTTTACTTTGACTCATATAGATATGATTGTTCAACGGCAGAAGTCAAACTATGTTATTTTATTTTTTTGTGTATTTTTAAATAAAAGTTTTTATGTAAATTCAAAACTATTAAAGACACGTACGATTCTTTTTAAAAATTAAACAATTTTCTACTGGCCTTACTGCAATTAAA